GCATTGACAACTTTTCCTTTAGCTTCTGATTTTCTTCATTAGATAGACACAACGCCTTGTCCTTTTCTGAGAGCGCGGCTTCAAGTGAGGACACTTTTGCACGGAAACTTTGTGCAGTATCCTCCAAGACATTCCTATGACTATCAACCAATTTTCTCATAACAGTTTGGTAAATTTCATCTCTGATAGTACTTTCAACAAAAAGATCCTCATATTCTACTTTAGTGCTGTTGACTTGTCTCAAGAGTTGTTTTTCTAATGAATATTGAAGTGACATTTTCCTGGTGGCATCAGATATTTGGTTCGATAATTCCTGAATATCCTTTGTCTTCTCTGCAAGCAAACACTGAAGATGCTGGTTTTCACGGTATAGCGAATCAATTCTACTGTTCAATTTGCTCCTTTCATCAAGTGCATCACTGTTACTGCAGATTGTAGGTGCTTCTGCTGCCATTCCATTGGACATGATTTGGTCAAATCTTGAAATGACCTCAGGGAATTTCCTCCTTAAAGGCTCAAATTCTACATCATACTTAAGAGCCAATGACCATTTCTCTCGTTTGAACTTGAAGAGCTCTTCTGTTTTCTCTTGCAAATCCAACTCATGCAGCCTTTTTAATTTACTGATCTCAGATCTGAAATAGTTAAGCATTTCTTGTCTAGTCAGGCCCTTCAGATGTCGGAAGTCGGATCTTTCTGATATAACTTCACTGGGACTTATAGATTTCTGTGTTGCAGAATTCTGGCTTTCCCCAGAAGACAGAGAGTGATCCTGGTGTGTTCGCTTTCTGAAAAAGCTGAACTTCCATCTGTCGCTCCAGTTACCCAAACTTTCATGCCTACAGAGGGAAATTTGTGGTTCCTCTTCAGAAGGTAACAGAATATTAGAAATAGCAATCAGCTCTTCACGTATAGAAGCACACTGCGCCACAGTTTCCTGCCAGTTTTTTCTTAGACTGTTCACTATGGAACTTTGCTCATACAGTTTCCTCTCTACTTCATCCTGAAAACCTCTAACACAGTCTCCAATAATAATGCCGGTAACTTCTAACTGTAACTCATGCTCCCACTGAAGATCATGGATTGAAGAATTGACCACTGTGAGCATCTCTCTAATTTGTCGGAACACCACAACCAGCAGCAACTTCAAGCTGTTGAACCCATCATCTATCTCAGCTAGCTTCCCAACATGGCATACTGTACAGCATGAACCATCTGCATCAGATTTGTGAGCCAAGTTATAGTTTTTGAAGACCCTTATATCCTCGGAGAGCTTATTAAGCTGGTGATCAACTTCCAATTTCATCAAATCTAAGTATTCTGTGTAAGTAACTTCTACATTTGCATCCAGAAGGTGTTGATGTAACCTTGGAACTACAGTTGCAAATTCTTCGAAGTTGTTTGCGACATCAGAGCAGCAATTGTGGGACAACAAGCCTGACGATGGCACAACTGCATCCTTGAACTCGTTAAAAGGCCCGTTGAACAAGGACAGGCCACTCTGAGCAGTACACCAGGATTGGTCAATGGTGGCTGGTCTAGTTAATCTACCAAGAAAGGGGTCCATTCTTTCATCCACCACCTGCAACATTCATTTTTTAATATTTGTCAGTCGATAGTAAACTTAGAACGCCAACTACAATATGAATGTACGAACTGAGGCAAATAAATTTGATGCCTCTCATGGAAACAAGATATACTTAATTTCATAGGAAATGAGATTAGTAACTTAACCATGCAAGTTTCTCTCTTGGAAAAAAAAAATAGTTCCTGATAGTAGATACCCAGTAGATCTGCCAGAGGTGGTTTGCTACTAGCATTGCATATGGAAACAATTGATCTATGTGAAAGTAAGGCGCACACGATAACTAATTGTGGATCAAGTCATAAAGTCAAATGGGCTTAGGAAAATGTCGATGATGGAATGATGCCTCGACTAGACCTTAACAACATGCAGGAGTCAACTAGGCACGTTACCATTATTCTGTAGACATGTTATAAGGTACCTAACCGAAGAAAAAACAGAACACTCCATTATGATCCATGCTTCAGTGTGACACCCGAAAATGTACAACCTGATGTTGAATGTTTAAGCGATGTTGAATTATAGTTGATATGCAACAGATGTAATACTTATGTGACATACTATCTGTAACATTTCTCCAGAATTAGCGTAATAACTAGCAAGGAGCAACTGAAATGCATCACTGTTCTCAAATTCACTAACCGGTAGCGTTTGTCATAAGTCTATCAAATACCAAATCCTTTACCATCCAGGAGAGCTAACGCAGAGTAGAGGAACTCTGGTGACGGATGCGAAGTAATAGCCAACAGGACAACTGCAGGACGGGAACGTTCGAACAGAACACCAGTACCATAGACAATTATTCCATTCCTCTCTCACTCAGCCACGGCCACAACCAGCGACGGTAAAAAACGTGCCAAAGTAACCAACAGCAGTGAAGTACTGGACACTACAAGCTGAGCAGAGCGGAGCAATTCACACCGGGTGCTGCTCTTCTCCGTCCCAAAACCCCCACGCCCTCCCGCACCAAAAGCAGAGCACGCACTGAAGCGATGAAGATTCCGCCGTCCACCTCGATCCTCCAGAAGGGCAAAACCCTAGCGAAAACGCCCGCGAAGCGTCTCAAACTACAGCCACGGAGCATGACAGCATCGACCATCCCCGCTCCGAACCGCGGCAGCTAATTCGAGCAGCCCAAACCAAACCCCAACAAACCACCACGAAATTCCGAACGCACAAGCACGGCGGCACGGAGCGACTTACAGGCTGGATCCGCGCCATTGGCAGGAGTCGGAGAGGCCGCTTCAGCGCCCCGTCGGCGCCGTCGCGGATGGGGTTCAGCTGCTCCCCGCCCTACTCTTGCTCCTCGTACAGCGCGTGCCGGGTTGGTTGGGGATAACGGCGGCAGTAGAAGAGGAAGGGTGGGGTGGTGGTGGTGAATCGGAGCCCTGGCAGTAACGAATTGGCTTGGATTTGACCGGTGATCGCGACGAGGAAGACGACGACGCGGCCGCTCCGCTGCGCTCACTTGCGGACAAACGAACAGAGAGGAGAAGCGGAGAACGAGTCAACTCAGCACGCCTGGAGGAGGAGGGTAAAACGGGCATCGGGCCGGGCGCGCAGCAACGGCGGGATGGCGGCGGCCCCGCCACGTAGGCGGCGCGGAGAGCGCGGAGGAGTGCCGGAGCGGTCGCTGTACGTGGGCCCGTTAGAGGATGGGCCCGTGTGGCGGTGGGGGTGGTTGGGACGATGGGACGTGCGGTAATGAGGGATGGGGCACGTGGGGCCCGGGCTTCGGCGGTGGTGGGAGCCCGTGGGGTGCTGAGCTGGATGGGTCAGCCTCTGTGGGCTATGTACGGGAACGCGGGCGCCTCAAGATGCGTGCGCGATTTGAGGGTGGCCGTCGGATCGGTCCTCGGGGCGTGTTCTCGTGAGGTGGGGATGCCATGGCTGCTTCCAATTATTCCATGTCCATGGCTTTTGCCATTAGCATTTTGTGAATCACAATTCTCTCCCTAAAAACAGATTTGGGCTGTAGCTGCGGCTGTAGTCGCAGCCGAACAGCCCTATTATATGCACTTTTAATTAAAGAAATAAAAATCATTTCCAGAACCTTTTTTTCTATTTTTAAAGAGCTCCAATTTTCATCAGGCGAAGCAACGCAGCACTGGTCTCATGTAGCACTGCTTGTCAAGCAACCATTGTTGCAGAATGGCAGCATGTTTAATTTAATTTTGAGAGGTCGTCGCCATGCGGTTCACGTAATTGTTTCAGATAAGACACTGGACTTGGATCTGATTTGTTTTCGCTAGTATTTTAGTGGCAGCAGATCAGCAGATCTAGATATCTTGGCACTCGGCATGTTCACATCGGCAGGATTGACCGTCGAGGCAGCAGAGCAGGTGCGACAGACAGGAACCATGTGGCTTTTTCATTGCGCAAATAAAGCTTGGGCAAATGTACCCGCGTTTATCGTCAAGCGAGAGGTTAAAAGGCCTTCACTCAGTCACCAAGAACTCTTAGGCTAAATCAACTACCCTAGTTCCTTGGTGAAATAGACGAGACACAGCATTTGAAGCATGATAACAACGGGTGTCCGTGTCACGTTCTGATGTAGTATTATCACTCCAGCGGTGATGTGATGTGTTCACAAGATCTGCACCAAGCAGCCTGAAAATGTAGGGCGCCTGTATATATTTACTTCCAGAAAGTAGAAACACCTGGAACCTGTTGCAAGAGTGGCTACACTTGTAAACTGGACGGGGCCTTTACAGATCACGGACGGACACGTAAACTTTACGGATCATGAAGATCATGAGATGTGTACTGGAGTCAGGTGAACAGAAGCTCTTCTTTTTGTCACGTCTCCTGTGTCCTGTGCCTGCATACAAGGTTCAGTTGCATGTCCAGAAGGACAGCGGAAAAGGTGATGAAAAGGCAGCGAGTTACACTGAAACCGAACGCTTCTCCTCTTTTTACCCGAAAACAGCTGCAGATGATTTGGAGCGGAGGGTGGACCGTGGACCAGACAAGCATCAAGCAACCATAACTGAAGCGGCAATCATGCGGGAATGCAGGACCATAAGACTAGCATATATTAATTCTTTTCCCAGCAGAATAAAGGGAGAGTGGAGATGATAGCCTCTGCTTTTCTTTGATTGGGGGGCCAAAGTTGACTGGGCTAGGATAGTACAAATGTACAATTCAATAATAATATCTCAGTTAAACAGTCAGAATATGCATCAAGCAAGGGCATGTACCCTTGAAAATAGCTTAGCAACCAGTGTGAAACGAGCAAAAATAAAAAGCTGCACTGGTAGATTAAAAACCGTGTGCTTCATTTTATTCACAATTTAGAGCAGAAGCTTATGAATTAGTCCACAATTTTACATCGCAGCCACAATCATTCAATCATATGTCCAGTTTCTCACCTCAGTCGCCGAAACAATCAAAATCCTTGGCATTTCATAACCTACTAGTAAACCTCCACGTGCCACTGCTTGTTCTTTTTCAGCTGTGACAGCTTCTGGTCCCAACTATCACCTCTTTGCTCAGCCACCCTCTTGAGCGTGTCCTGGATCCCTGGCATCATCCCCTTCAAACCGCAGAAGTAGATGTGCGCACCGCCATCTAGCAGCTTGAAGATTTCATCGCTGTACTCCTCAATCTTGTCCTGCACGTACATCTTGCCACCATTCTTGTTCTTCTGCTCCCTGCTTAGTGCTTTGTCATACCTGCAATCTCATCAACACTTGGTTCAGCTCAACAATATCTGCTATGCTTTACTTCACCTAGGCATTGCATTATAAGTGGCCACCATGGTCAAGAGAACAAAGCACTAGACTAGCTTCCTCAGCTATATCGCTATGATTGAATGAAAAAACATGTTAAAGCATTATTAATTCTCAAAACCTGAAATTGTCTGGATACTGCTGAAGGTAGTTTGTGAACTCTTCATCATAGAGAATGCTGTCAGAGTTAGCCACGCCTAGGAAGAGCCAGGCCAGACCACTGAATTTGAAAGTTGGGACATCTTCCATGAACATACGACGTAGGTAGCCACGGTAAGGAGCAACACCAGTCCCTGTGGCAATCATTATATGAGTCGCATTTGGATCATCCTCGGGAAGAAGCATTATTTTGCCTGAGGGGCCTGCCGGAAGAGAAAGTTATGAGATGCTTGAGGAAGGGATAGCCAGCATATAACAGAAGACAAAATAAAAGATGATCAAGCCAAATATCCCCTCCACATGTGACCTTATCGAACATGCTTTAACAACAAATTTTATGACTCATGCGAACAACAACAACAAAGGCCTTTAAGTCAGTCAGTTGGGGTAGGCTAGAGTTGATGAACCACCAACAAAAAAGGAAAAGGAAAGAAAAATAAAACAAGGGTACATAAGGCATTAATAGAGGAAAAAAATTATAATCAACAATAAGAAAAAATTATAATAAAAAAGAATGGTATTAAGATAAAACCTGAACTGCAACCAACAAACAGAAATATCAAGAAGAAAACATGTCATAAAGGGGGCAAAGACATCCGTTCAGTGCATACTATTCAGTTAAGTCCTTACCATGGTAAGGACACCACATAAGATCAACCTCATTTTGAATGTCCGCTTTGGATGATAGAACAAGGCTTTTTTTTAGTTCAACCCACGTTAGTTCCTTCTGCAAATTTGAGACTTGGCTAAAAAAACCTCTGAGAATGGGAACACCAAACACAGTGCCCCGGAAACTACTGTAGTCACCACTCACCACAAATTTTACATAGGTAATCAATTAATAGCAGTCTGTCTAACTGTTGTTCTCAAGAATATACAATATCCTTTATATTATATGTGACACATACATGTCACCCACCTCAAAACCCTCAAAGCTAGTAAACATTCAGTTTCATCATATATGATGGAGATAATGGACAACTCAGATGAGCAATGAACAACCAGACTCAGCTACCATGGCAGGACACCAGGCCAAAATTTTGTCAATCACGGATCAGATTTGCATATCTTCATAATCTCAAAATCTAAGACAGTAAATCCCAAAAACACATATGCAAAAGTTTCAAAGGGCTAAAAATGATTAGGATGTAAATGTGATGCGCAGTCAGTACGATCCATATTTTTTTAATGGAATGGAGTGAATCAGACACCAAGAAATTTGGTATTCACAAAGACCTAAACAAGCTTCTCGGCACAACTTAAAGAAAGCTGCACCAGGAGTACCAATGCAAAGGCCTCATCATAAGTACCTGTCACATTTCATCATTTTCATCTCCATTCCACATGTATGATTACTACAGCAAATTAAACCATTGGTATTTTAAACGCAGAAAAAAGGAGGAACAAGAGTTGCACCTTGATCAATGATGAAGAAATAATTGTGATGTATAATAAAATGTAAGGCCTATTGTGCAGTTAGAGGTTATTATTTAGTGTTAGAATACACATAACCATGTTTTTTACATGCCATTTGAGATCAGTTCCATACCTGTGATCTGAACTTTGTCCCCTGGTTTTGAGTCACACAGGAAGTTACTGCAGATACCATTCTTTGAGGGGTCTTCCTCTCCAGTTTCAGGATCATAATAAACAGCACGACGAACACATAAGCTTGTTGTCTTTCCATCAAAAGAATCACCATATCTTGTAGAAGCAATTGAATAGAGCCTAACAGTATTTGGAGATCCAGGTTTTTTTGGATTCTCTCCCTGACAACAAGTTATATGTTAGTCTGTGAGAAACAACGGTATTAGATACAGTAAAAGCAGATGCAGATGCAGTAAAAGCAGATAAAAATTGAACCGAAAATACAGATATTAGATATGGTATTAGAAATAACAGTATTAGATACAGTAAAAGCAGATGCAGATAAAAAAAAAAAAATGAACTGCAAATACAGCAGGGGAGGCCCCCACTATAAAGTTTTATTTAAATAAAGAGAAGCTCAACAACTGTTCGAAAAACAACAGGGAGAGAAACTGTACAAGAGAAGAAAGAAGGAAGAGGGTCCGAGGTGGACCAGAGAGCTACGACAGCCCAAGGGGGGAGAAAGCCAACAACACTAGACTAGGACTGCCAAAAGGGATAGGAAAATAGATCTTTTAGAGTCTAAGAGCCTGTTAGCTAGTCTTCTCTGCACAGAAGGGTGTTAACTAGTCTTTCTGCACAAAAAGGCCTACATGTTTTTATATGTCCTGCTAACAGCAACCGAGCTAGGATTGCCAGCAATTTTTGACAAGGGACTTACAAGTCATAGTTAGGTTTTAACATTGTTTGCCACACTATCAACAGTCACAGAATTCGAAATATTGGATACACTGTACACAGACAATTTTCTAACGAGATTTAACCAATAACCATAATATCAGCAGCATATATTTGAATAATACTATCTTATTTATAGCAAAAGTGATCAATAAAGAATCATATAATAATAAAAAAAGGATACAAACTACAGATTATGAAGTGTCCAGTGCACACTTGCCAACAATGGAAAGACCAAAAGTATAAATTCATTAGGAAAAAAAACTATAGAAGTATTGCATTATTCTTGGCAGGACTAGGGAGGAGATGCTTACTGGAGGAATGACACCATAACTCTGTCCTTCCCAGTATGGAACATTGCCACCATGATCAATGACAATATGGCATGTTTCACCTGGAGCTTTGGGTCCTACAATCCTCTCAACTGAGACAATTGTGGCCGTGTAAGGTTCCTTTGGTTTGTATAAGTTGAGTGGTGGCTCCTTTGCATTCTCCAGCTCAACGGGATTAACAGCAACTTTGCTTCTGCTTGCTTGTTGAACAGACATGCAGAAGACCTTGTTCAGATGTCGTGATTGCTGGGCTTTGTTTTTCCATGCTAATGTCATCCCAATGCATGGTTTGCTCCGGAAGGTTAGATTAGTGTTACCCTGAATAGAACAAGTGAATCCTGTAAGCCTACTACCACACATCAGGAGCACATAAATGCAAGAACTAAATCATCACAGCCCTCTCAGGCAGGAATGTTGCAATACTACATGTGTGTCAAAATAATATACGGCCCTAAAATGTCCCAAATGATATCAACAAATAGTATGCTTCTGTGAAAGAGAATTCAGCAGGATTCAGCTAGCTCAAAACAGCAAATATCCAAACTAGCACAAACTCCTTAGCACCTAAATAAGCTACTGACCAGGGAATCTGGCTACTGATGGTATAATCAAACTGACAGTATCACTGATAAATCTGACCATCTCAAGTGAACTGCAGATGTCGATAGCAACAAAATAAGGCCATCAGCGGCACACATTTCGCTTCAAATATCATTGGTAATTGATACTTTTCACCAGAAATATAGAAGCAGAAAAAAAAACGTCCCTCTCAATACCGTTCTACAGTGTCAAAACAGACCGAGCCACGAGATTCCCCAATGAAGGGGGGCCAAGCCCTGGCGTCAGTACGCTACGCACCTTGAGCGCGGTGCCCTTGAAGACACAGTCCGAACCGACGGGCACCGAGGCTGCGGCGGCCACCTGCACGGAACGAGAGGGAGCGAAACGTAATCAGAGTGCACGCGACTAAAGACAAGCCCGGCATCGCGCGCGCGTGGAGTGGCCGTCCGTACCTGAGATCCGAGCGCGGGGGAAGCCATGGCCGACCGACCGACCGAGCCGCGTGGGAGGAGGGGTTTGCTAGGGTTTTGATCTGCGGGAGGGAACTGAACTTTGGGGAGGCGAGCGACGGGAGGAGAGGGACGGGCTTGTTGACCGTTTGGAAAAGAGAACACTCCTGATGCTGAAGAAAGCAGGGGAAGAAGGCTCTTCAGTCCTGAGTCCTGACAGTGACAGCCGAATTTTGTGGTGCTCAACTGCTGACCAAAGGCTAAGGCCTTGTTTAGATCGAAAGAAATTTCAACCCGATGAATAGTAGCACTTTCGTCTTATTTGGTAAATATTGTTCAATCGTGGACCAACTAAGCTTAAAAGATTCATCTCGTGATTTCCAACTAAACTGTGCAATTAGTTAATTTTTTTTTCTACATTTAATGCTCCATACAAACGGCTAAAAATTGATGTGATGGAGAGAGAGTGAAAAAACTTGGAATTTTGAGGGTAACTAAACAAGGCCTAAAGCATTGCCACTTTTGCTACTTGCATTATTCAGCCTGTTCGCTTGTTGGTTTTAGCCAGCCCAAACCAGCCAGCCAACAGTGTTTTCCTCTCACAATAAACCAGCACCAGCCAGCCCAAACCAGCCCAGAAATCAATCAGCGAACATGCCGATTATTCATTTATTCTTTAGCTTCAGTAATTTTCAGAGGGGCCTTATAGGCCGGTTTAAAAACTTTGAGCAGCTTTCATTTTGATAAATTAAGCCAGAGTTCTGTGCTGATTTATTTAAATTCGTACATTTTGAGCAAGCATTACCTACAACTAAACATCCTGTATGTTCTTTCTTCAGAGAAGACGGTGGTAAGCTGATGCTGGAAAGCAAATGGGTAGGCAGAACAATCGAAGCAAAATGTGTGTTTCAGAACAATCGAAGCAAAATGCGGTTTCGCCCTCCGCCGGTCTTCAGCATGTGCTCGGCGTCTTCAACAACAGGAAACATGTGCAAGAGAATGGGGGCGGCGGCAGCAGCAGATACCTGCATGTCTGCATCAGAATGTCAAAAAATCGTGTTCACGCGCCACGACCGAGGAATTTAGCAGTGCTGCATCAGGAATCCACGCACTGTTTTTTTTCTCGGCCTGCTTGCAACACAAAGCACCGAGGGAAAAGAAAAACCCAGTCCAGGCCAACATATACTCCTCCAGACACAAATTAGGAGCAGATCAAGACCGGCTTCTCAGGCCATGCACAACTCCACATCCCAAACCACATTTCAATGTCATCCACTCATCCTGCAAAAACTGAACAAACCCTCCTGTATATCACAATAAGCATCTCAAGAAACCTGGCACCCAATCCATCAGACAAGGAGCTTTCATACCAAAGGGTTCTTTGTTCTGTCCCTATTTTATTTTTGTTTTGTCTTAGTCGTCCAAAACACCAAAACGCATAAAGCAGTACTGGTGCAGGGCACTGCGAACGTTTGCAGCGCACATTATTATTACAAAACGCTGGTTCTTGTTTTACGGGAACCGGAACAGACCACGGCGTAACGCTTTATTCCAGACACGCCAGAGTTCTCCACTAGTCTAGCTGCAATTCGCGGAAAGGTTTTTGCATCCTTGCAGTGAACCCTGAATTGCAGCGACCAGATTGGTTCACATCAACGGCGTACGCGACTTGGTTCGGCCTGAGAGGAGCCTGGGCCAGCATGAGGTGCTCCACCCGCTGCGGAACCTGGTCCTGAATCAGGTGCTTCGTCCCAAGGAGCAGCCAGAGTATCCAGCAGTTGTCGGAGGTAGCTCCTTGCAACAGGGTCATCCTGTGTTTACCGTAAGAAGATATGGTTAGTACTTGACTGAAACCTTCCATCTGTTGTAAGTGGAGGTGGAGCAGTGGTTGATTAGACTAGAGGCAGCTGACGAATCGAGAGCAAGACTCTCCTCGAGGCAGTGGTCGAATGTCCCGTTCTTGAGAGCCTCAGGAAAGCTAATTTGCAGTGCCCTAAGGGCCCGGCAATGTAGAGGGGAAGATATGGGGATCGCGCATGCAAGGAAATGCCGCATGTTACAATTTAAGTTCCTATCTAGTATGCAAATGACAGCACTTACCGGGGATGATAAGTCAGCCTGTGGTAGCAACAGATGATGTGCTTCAGCAACCTGGTGGAGGGTTGTTCAGCTAGTGAAATCACCATGCTTTGTAAAACAGAGGCTAGCGCAAAGAAACGTTCCACGGTGAAACAGATGTACTGTAACCCAGCTTCATCCAGCACAATCCTTTCGACAATGTAAGTGGCCACCTGCATATGCATTTGGCTAATTAGTGGATTAAAGCAATGCTTACCAGATTAGTGCAATTTCCATTAACTACACCTGTAATGAGAGACTTAGGCTCCCAATACTCAATTTGTCATTAATGCAGATGAGATGTTATGAGATGTTACAAAGAGGTTAGCTACATTTATCTGCCAACCAGAATAGGAGTCATCTCCTACTGTTCTCAGAGAAAATACACAGAACTTTGGTTGACAGATATATATACGCTACGGAAATTAGCAGCAAATGGTACTTGCTGAAGCAACAATGCCAACAGTTTTTGAAGTTTTTTCATAAGCCTCATTTTATGCTTTGAAGTCATAAGGAAATTTTAGGGCTATCTGAGAGAAGCCCAGTGTAGGAAAATTTGATCCTGAACACCTGCTTGGCTACATTCGAGAACATAAAGTGCTTCATAGTCTACCTCACCTAAAATATGTAAACTATATAAACTGTTTGATATGTTGGAAGAGGATAGCATACCATACCATGCAAAGTAAGGTAGTAAAGATACTGAGCAACACATGGCTAATAACAAGTACAGCCAGTAGATGGCATTAATGACCTCAATCAAGAAAACTTTAATTATGTATAGCATGCCAATCTAAATGGTGGGGACTGTGAACTTACGCCACGTGATTGCAAGATTGTGTTCCATGCAAATTTTAGACAACCAAGCATACCAGCGAATACAATAACATGATACGGGATGGCTGAGCAGAGGCAAAAGATGAAAATAGTTCACGCAAAAGACGATAAGACATACTGTTTTTGAAAGCTCTTCGCCTGTTTCCATGATTCGCAAGCACAGAGGAATGATTTCACTTTGCAGCAGGAAACCGATGGCTTCAGTATCATCTGCCTGCATGTATCAAGACAAAGAAGCTTCTTTCTCATTTGCAGAATTAGTGTTTGATGAAAACAACAAATGGATCTTGGCCATGAATTTATCGCTGTCAGGTTAAGTGCTCCCCTATTATCCGAATAGGATTGAACGCGCCAAATGTTCCCACTGAAAGAAACACATGACCAACGTTCCAGAAATCCTTAAACATCCTCGCATGTGAGAATGTAATCATGTGTTCCTTCTGAATATCACAAGTTACATGGCATTGCTTTGCATTAGTGAAGTGACAGAAGGCCCAGCCCCCCAGGACTAGTGAAGCAGATCCAGGCTGAGTTGTGTAAAATTAAGTATAAATTACCTTAACAAGAGCACCAATCACACCTAGACTGGTGAGTCGCAGGGACTCGAAAGATCTAGCATTGCTGACAGTGTTCAAGAGTGGGAATAGGTATATGGAATGAGAGAGAGTGAAGAATAATGGTGACATATCCAGGAAACAAAGTTTATTAGTACTATACAAGTAAAAAATCCATAATACTTCAGAAATTTTATTACAGCATCTAACATAAACCAAAAGTGTGTCAACTGTCAAACACTATATGACGATGTGGCAAAACTTTAGTTCGGTGGTTGTTCAGGTCAGGTCCTAGTTCTATAGTCAGTGGCGCACTAGTTAATTTCCTCTGTGGCGTGGTATAGTGTGGCAGAGTTTGTACTTGGTTTCTTGTTCTTCTACAATGAAATGATACGCAACTCTCCTAGGCATTCGAGAAAAAAGATAATGTGGTAAAATACTAACATCGGATAACTAACAACACACCTTCAGTACATTTCAGCTTAGACATTCAAAAAGTCATGTTCATTGACATTACCTTTTAGAAAGGAGGTCCTAGTCTCAGGGTGTGATGCAACAGACTGCAACAATTTTAGGAGTGAGGGTGAACAAAACATAGATAGAAATCTAATGTTCATAACTTAAAATGGATAACAACAAACAGAAGAAAAAAATCCCCTTTGCAGTGCAGTATGTCATGGGAGCGGACAATTTTTCTGCTTAAACCCATTATTTCTTAATACCATACCTGAAGAAGTGCAATTGCGTTGCATACTCGGCTCGATGCACATGCCGTTAGTGTTGGGGGTGAAAGTGCAGGGTAGACTGACAAAATTTCCTGTTTTTTTTCAAGTCGTCAAACATACTGGGCGTACCCAGTGCAGAGAGCTCCCGCTCTGTGCGGGGTCTGGGGAAGGGTGTTAGTGGCAAGCCTTACCCTCGCCTGTGCAATGCGAGGAGACCGCGACTCGAACCCGGGACCTTCCGGTCACAGGCGGTAAGACTCTACCGCTTACACCAGGCCCGCCCTTCTCGTCAAACATACTGAATGAGACCAAAAGACTGACCTAAAAGATCAATTTAAACTTCGAGAACATATATTAACAAAACTGATATAGTCATGAAATCAAAGATTGAATCAAGATTGCCTGAACTAACAGACTGACGATAGGTTATTACATACCCGGAGCAGGATAATAATTGATCCAAAAGAGTGCCACATCAGTGGAGCCAAATTCTTAAGCATCTCCCTTTTCTGAAAAAGTTACAAAAAGAACATTACATACCAAATTTGTTGCCATGTTAACGACTCAACATGCATCTACTATTGTTCAGACCAGCACCATTACTGAATCAATCAGCTACAAAATGAATAAAAGTTTACAATGGAATGAGTTCACATCCTTAGCTACTTAGGAAAGCGATAACTATGGGATTCAAGCAATTAGCATGTTAATACACATATACAGGAAAATAATAGTAGTTTCACAAATTCAGAGCAGCTCAAACACAAATCTGATTCACTAAAAATAGTTTACACTGCAGTTCATATAAATGAATGGGGGGTCAACTATCAAAAACAAGAACCAAGTTTATACTTAACTATTATATATAAGGGTGTTCCATATATAAATAAACACATCCCTTCTGTGAGGAAACTCCTAAATTGCAACTGAAAATGTTGCCCAGTATATGCAACGAACCACCAGCAGTTCAAGATTTTTCATCATTACAATGTGCAGTAAGCTACAGCTGGCATCTGAACAAAAAGAGTAAAATTCTCAAAATTTCATAAATACACCAACTCCTTTCAAAGCACATATATTACTCTTTACTATACATAGACATCCTTACAACCACTGCCTATGAATGTAGCAGCTTGCTCTACTACATGTCAGACAAACAAATAGAAAAAAGATCATGATTTTGCAGTCCCGAAGACCACTAACACAAATCAAATCGGCACTTTTGTTGATCAAAATGTATTACATCTCAAGGATATGAAACAACTAATTTATGCATGGCAATCCGCCTCCAATAAACTCAAACTGGACGAAACCAGGTCTCCTTAATCCTGATGAATCTATACATGCGCTAGAAAACCAGCTATGAACCAAAATTAAGAAATCATACATACAAAATACCTAAATTATTGTGATTTCCAAATCTGAGATCAAACAGTATTGCCCTTGGCAAACCAAGAACCGATTGCCTTGATTATACCCAATCAATTAAACTGAACTATTTAATTCTGGAAAACCACAAAGCATCACAGATGCGAACTTCAGCAGCTATCGCAACAAGAACTCCTGGCAAGAAACCTCACTAGAGATCGAGGAGGCCAGATCTTCCAACACAGGGATGTATAACCAGCAGACGAGGAAAGGAAAAAGAGGGACCTCGGAGAGCTCAGCGAGGGCATTTCCACGCAACTCAGGTTCGTAGAGGTCGCGCAGAAGCCGCTCTTCCGGCTTCATCTTGGTATCCTTCTCCGCCTGCACCACGGCGTTGCAGCCTCCACTGCCTCTTGCCACGGAGGGAGGAAGGCGAGGCATTGGGGAAGGAGTAGGTGTCGAAGATTTTCCGTTTCAAAGAGGCGAAGAAATAGAAGAAGGCTATCATTATTAGATTTATTAATCTATTTAAAAGACCCTTATACCCTTTTCCCGTTGTTCTTATAAGGTAAAAATAAATGCATCCTTATATTTACCCTTTCCTTTGGGTTTTGTTTCTGTAATAAAACTTATCATCCGTTTTAGCTTTTGTACGTTTCATATTTGGAATGCTCTGTACACTGCCTTTTTGGATGATAGTGCTTTGGGTGCTTGGGATTGTCTTAAGTGTAAGAAATAGCTGGTTTGCTATGTGAATGAATATGTATCTCTGATCATGGATGTAATCGATTACTTACTGCAATAGCAGTACACCATTCACATTTCCTAAGCTAGTATTATATGGCTAGATTGTTGGGCTAGGAACAGCAAGGGTTGGAAGCGTACTTACCCTTTACAAGAGGCTCTGAGTAACCTGTTTACATGGAGATACTAACTCCATGTTTAACTCAGAATGTTCTTCCGTATTCATCTTATAGAGTCAGCCCTACAATTTGACTAACAGACTGCTTGTTCTTCTCCCAAATAGGTAGCAATTCCAAAGCAACTAACTCAAAACAAACTTCCTAGCTAGGACATTTCAGACAATTATGGATGTCTGAGCCTGCTTCTTGCACCATGCATATGTTTTTCTACGAATGTGTCCACAACACAGTCCAGTAGTAGTCTTTCAAGTATGGATTTGTGGACCAGTGATCTTGTCACTACATGATTTAGGGAGTATAGAGGTGGCCATTTTAAAGCTTCATAGCAAAACATATCTATATGCTATAGCATCCTCTATAAAATCGCAAAAGTCAGGGGGGCATAGCCCACTAGCCCCAATGAAGCTGCTACCTTAGACAATTCACTTTGTATGCACCCTATATTAAAATATCAACTCAACTGACTCCCTGAACCATTCCAATTTGTCCAGTTCACCCCCTAATGATTTTTTTCACCTTTTTGTTACTCTTTGATGCTACAGAGGGATGGAGATATTGATGCGGACGTTAGCCATAGAATCAAAGCAGGGTGGATCAAGTGGCAACAAGCTTCTGGCATTCTCTGTGACAAGAGGGTACCACAAAAGCTAAAAGGCAAGTTCTATAGAACGGCGATTAGACCGGCTATGTTATATGGAGCAGAATGTTGGCCTACAAAGATTCGACATGTTCAACAACTGAGTGTTGCAGAAATGCGTATGTTGCGATGGATTTGCGGTCACACAAGAATGGACCGAGTTCGGAACGATGATAAACATGATCGCCTAGAGGTAGCACCAATTGAAGAAAAGCTTGTCCAACATCGGTTGAGGTGGTTTGGCCATATCCAAAGGAGACCTCCAGAGGCACCAGTGCATTGTGGAGTCCTAAGCCAAGCTAATAATATGAGGAGATGTAGAGGAAGATCGAAATTGACATGGGGGGAGGCAATAAAAAGATATTTGAAAGCTTCGGATATACCTAGAGATATATGTTTGAATAGGAGTACTTAGAAAGCAGCTATTGAAGTGCCCGAACCGTGACTTGGGGCTCTTGGTGGGTTTCAACTCTAGCCTACCCCAACTTGCTTGGGACTGAAAGGCTATGTTGTTGTTGTTGTTGTTTGTTACTCCTTGTACAGGTTGTATATTGGGTTATGGGTTAATAGATGAGATTTCTAAAGTATGTTAAGAAAAAACTTGAAAATTGTTGTTGTCGTCTTTCACACATTGTCATGTCTCACTAGTCAAAGTAACATAAAATACTCCCAAGTCTTAACTGATGGAAAAAAGGGGGGGCGTACCCAGTGCAGAGAGCTCCCGCTCTGTGCGGGGTCTGGGGAAGGGTGTTAGTGGCAAGCCTTACCCTCGCCTGTGCAATGCGAGGAGACCTGTGCGGGGTCTTAACTGATGGAAATAATCACAAAATTTGAACCCGAGACAACTTTTACGAGGAGAAACAAAAAACACAAGTTTTATTAGGGGTGATTTGATCTAATTTGATTACTTTGTGGGAGTAAATCAAGTCAACAATCAACATTTTGTACAGGTGGCTGAACAGACAAATAGAATAGTTGGAGGTCGTAAAGTCTAAGGTGCACTTTTTCCTTAAAAAGAGTTTTTTATAAACAAAAAAGGGAAAGACAACTACACCTATGTATTTTACGATCATTCAGTAAGCATATGTACCTTAAGGATTTCTACATTTATTTTACATGATCAAGGACCAATATTCTCAAATAAGTTGATTGCTTACTAGTTAATCAATAAAGGAAGATATATTATTTCATCGAAACTTATGATAGGTAGATTATAGAAAACCACATAAATAAATTGGTAAAAGACAATCTAATCATGTTATCATAAGTCATCTGAGTTTGAAACAACTCAGTGCCAATTAATTCTGAGATATTATGTGAAATGAATAGGAGGTGATGAAATAGGCTGTCTAGAGGAGAAACAAAATTAACTTGCCTAACTTCAAATAGGCAAGCGCCTAATGTTTTTGATCTAACAGATCAAGAACTGAAGGCATGCCACAGGTTCAAGGTCTTTAGGACTAGGAGCCTCATTGTTCGATATGATGCATAGATTCAACAATTCTAAATTGTTTGTAAATAAATGATGGAATGCAACACCAGTGACAGTGAGCGATAGGGTTTAAATAGCTGCAGGGACTGATTCCATGCATGAAACAACACTAGGAAACTTCACATGATTCTGCACTGGCATCCAAAACTACCATGGACAGTATCAAATCAGACTGCTATTTCACAGACAAACACTTCATTTAGCTGTGAACTACCACTCTAATGAGGTGTACATGCAATATATTAGCTGTAACTGTAAAGAAAACTTAAGTCCTCAGGTCTTACCAATGGGTGTAAATCTCATCCGCCGCATCCGGACATTAGTCCTTCGGAGGATAAATATTAGGCCTACATCTATTTTACATGCCAGACTCGTGTCACTATGTGTGAGCAACAACATCTGCTGCCCTTTGCTTATTGTTCACAACTCCATACTGTAACACTATGTGTGAGTAATAGCGACATCCTACCTTGTTGATAATGTTGAGACTAACACTTCGTCACTTCTAGCTTGAAACTCACTGATATCAAAGGGCGAGCCCGTTGTACCCCCAATACAATTTAATGAATTCTTTCTCTTATGTTAGCCCTGTGTAAAATAAATAACTTTCAGTTGCTCCTCTAATTCCTGATAAAAAGCTAGGAAAATAGCAGCCTAGTAGAAAGATAACGTGGGTTTCACCAGCAATGCGTTGGGCCATTGGTGTCAGATGCATACCGTCCGTGTGGCATCCCCTGCTCGCTGAAACAGACGAAACCGCCACTGCTCCCTCCACCAAATTAGTGGCTCCGAGGATCAGACGCCGCCACCTCGCTGCCGCCCACTCGCCGCATTGCCGCGCCGCCGGTCGACGTCCACCATCCGTTTCCGAAATTGGATCCTCCCCCAAGCGGCCAGGCTCTAGGAGGTAGGCGCTCGTGGAACGGCTGCTCCTCCCGAAGCCGCCAAGCGCTAGCCCGAGGGATGGAGGAACGGCTACTCCTCCCGGATCGAGCCGCTCGACTGCGCTGCATCGAGCCCTCCGTATCGAGCGCTCGCCCAAACAGACCAAAGGGGCCAGCGCCGCCAGCCCTCGCACCGGAACTGGGACGGCCGGCTCACGCCGCGAGACGCGACGCGGCCCGTACCAAGCGCCGCATTGCCGCGCCGCCGCGCGCCGGCGATGGGGGTTGAGGGATATACTGCGCTTTTCCATCAGCCATTGGACTGAGTTCTAACGGTCCAGATTGGCCCAGCCAACACCCACTGACACACACGCACACGGCTCCACAACAAAACCCCACTTTTCTCGTGATTTCTCTCGGGACGGGCGCGCAGCGCCGGCCCGAGCTCCCCGCCGCCGCCGCCGCCGCGGTTCCGCCCTCCACCGCAGGCCGAAGTTAACCTCTCCGGAGCTCAACGCCCCCGCCTGCACCGCCCAACCACCCGTCTCCCACCCTCGGCGGGCGCGCCGCCCGCCGTCCCGCCCACTGTCCGCCACCACCGCCGGACTGGCAACTCTCCCGGCGATCCGTCTAAGTCCGGCAGTCTCGCAACTTCAGGTAAGCCCGTAAACCCCAGACCCCCAAATCCCCATCCCCAATTCAGTTTCTTATACGCAAGAAATCAGTCGCGTGAAGATGATTAAAACTCATTTATATATCTATATCTGTACCTAATAATAAATAGGTAAAATTTCGAACTATTTTTTTCGTCCATTTTTTTTTGTCCGTATTCCTCTGCCTACCGGATAATGGCTCGTTTCTGTTCTTCTGTTATCCGTCTGCCGGCCCTGGTGGACAAGACGAGAGGGATCGACCGGTTGCCGTTGCTCTCTCGTGGCCATGGCCGTGGCGGCGGCCTTCCCCTCCGGCGCCCTCCTCCCCACCACCCCTGGTACCCACCTCGCCCCGTTCACTCTGCGCTTCCCCTTCCACCTCCGCCCACGGTGCGCCGCCTTGGCCGCCGCCACACTCCGCGAGGTCTGTGCTGGCCGCGTCCCGGACCACGTCCTACAGAGGTGAACACCGCAACCAGACGAGCCGCCAATCCTTTACCATGCCATTAGCTCACTCGTCGGCGGAGGCAAAGGCAACACCTAGAAATTCCGGGGGTGGTTTCATTTCTTGATTGAAAAAATAGAAAATTGGTTTCAGGGCTGAGGAGGTTGGCTATGTCGTTCCTACCGAGGTGCAGGAGCAATCCCTGCCGCTTCTGCTGTCCGGCCAGGATTGCATTCTCCACGCGCAGGTGGTTCTCTCCCTGACTCCCTCCTTATAAGCTTTCTTGCTCGTCTGTTTGCTAGACTAGACCAAGAGTTCCCTGTTGCACGATACTGCTGTGGCCTGTTATGGCATTTCGCATTTCACGGTGTAGACAGGCTCCGGGAAGACGCTGGCCTACCTCCTGTCCGTCTTCTCCGCCATCGACTTCAGCAGGTCCTCAGTGCAAGCACTGGTGGTCGTCCCCACAAGGGAGCTCGGCATGCAGGTGATTGGCTTTGATTTGATTGCCGGCTCGATTGCTTGCTCGGTGCAACCTGTCTGTCTGATGTGGTTTCCTATGGTGCTCCAAGGTTACCAAGGTTGCTAGACTACTCGCAGCCAAGGCCTGCACCGTCATGGCTTTGCTTGACGGTGGTATGCTCAAGAGGCAAAAGAGCTGGGTCAAGGTAATAGTAGTACTGACCATCTCTTGCTGGATTTATGTTGATGCCTGATTACCTAGGACCATTTTGATTGGAAGTGGCTATTCAATGGTTAGGTCCAGATCGATCTTATGATTTCAACGTATATTTATGTCGCTACGATATTCGCGGTTGTGGCATGGTAGCAGAATTCACTTACATCATCATGTAGAGGGTTTGCCATGTGTTTGTGATAGAATTGTTGATAAATTTACAGGCAGAGCCCCCCGCAATAATTGTAGCTACTGTGGCAAGCTTGTGCCAAATGGTCGAGAGGCGCGCATTCAGCCTTCAATCCATGAGAGTGTTAGTTATCGATGAGGTGAGCTCATCGCTCCACTTTCTTAAGTCTTGAATCTAATTACTGCCAGAGTTTGCTCCGCCCACTGATGCTCTGTAATTATACTTGCCAAGTGGGCTAACCTTGTTGTTTCCATAGGTTGATTTTATTTTTGGGTCATCAAAGCAAGTCAGCGCTCTTCGCAAAATATTAACCTCTTATTCAGCAGCTTCGAGTCGTCAAACCATATTTGCAAGCGCATCGATCCCTCAGCACAATCGCTTTCTGCACAACTGTGTACAGCATAAATGGACCAAGGTTGTACTAACTTCTTCTACTGAACCAATTGCTGTTTGCTTTTGTACTTCAAAGAAGGCTAATGTCTTTTTCCCTTTATCATGGTATAGAGTGATGTGGTTCATGTTCATGTCCACCCTGTACAGCCCATGCCTTCGCACCTGTGTCACAAATATGTGGTGAGCATATCAAATTCTCTGTATAATGATTGATGACCTTGTATCTAGTTTCTCGTTTACCTCACTCATACAAGGACGTTCCATTTTTCTCCCACCCGCCTGTGACCGGAAGGTCCCGGGTTCGAGTCGTGGTCTCCTCGCATTGCACAGGCGAGGGTAAGGCTTGCCACTAACACCCTTCCCCAGACCCCTCACAGAGTGGGAGCTCTCTGCACTGGGTACGCCCTTTTCTTTCAACCATAAGCACTTACCCACAACCATGCTCACCCACAGGCTCATTGTTGTAAATTATACTAATGTTCTTCTTGACAATTAATTTTGGGATGCATGGTACTTACTCAACATCACCTGCCTCTAGGCTTGCCACATTTCTTCTAATTCTCAACTGATCCAATGCATATAGAGGCAACCTGTTTTTTCTTCTTTCCCATAATTAGTGCCTCCTGGCCATCTAAGTCCACAACCAACCTCCTTTCTCCCAAGATTTCTTTTCGATCTCTGTCTGAATCTTGGTGACTATGACAACACAATCAATGTGCAGATCTGCACCAAGAAGGAAAGGTTGCATGTTTTACTATCCTTGCTTGAGAGGGATGCACCAAAGTCTGGAATCATATTTGTTGCTGAACAGGTACTGGTGTACATGATGTTCTTTTGGTACCATACCATGTTGCGTATATAGTTTCTCTAGTATCTTGGGATTTTGTCATCTATTTTCTGGGGTGCTTCCTCAATAGAGTTGTCAATAGGCCAGGTGATCTTATGACGGGCCAGCAATATTATGTCAGATGCAAATTCAATATAGTCACAATAAAGCATTTTGCCGTCTCTATCTGCTTATACAGAATGATACAGAATAATGCATGATGCAGTGCGCTGTGATGCTGTAATGCCATTCACATATGTGATGAGTTGAGCGAATTTGGTATCTGCACTTTGGCAAGCTTGTTTATTATTTTTTGAATTACTACTAATGCCTGGGAAAGTTCTTGCAAAATCTATACCCCAATTATCATTCATGTAAACACCAAGATCCAGGCCCATGATGACTTATTGGCATTGTCTGAGGTACCGGCAGCATCTACCAGTGCATAATTTCGTCATATTTTCAGTTCCCATATTTTCTGTCACTTCCTTTTTAAAAGCTTTGGATACTTTGACATTTATAAGTAATAAAACTGGTTTGTTCACCAACAAAGAAGTATCTATTCATCACCTAGTTCTGAGCAGTTATGTTGACGGTGAATGAATCTTAAGTTCTTGACTAGACCAAAAAGAAGTGGTGTATCACCCGCACATCTGCATTCTGTTTTGTAACTCTAAACCTATGTTCTTAGTCTGAGAGATCAAAGAAGGCTGGAAATCCTCCGTCAACCACCATCGTTGCTGAGTTCTTGAGAAATGCATATAAGGGAAGCCTAGATGTGCTGCTGCTGGAAGAAGATATGAACTTCAATGCTCGAGCTGCCTCGTTCTCTGTAAGTGCTCTCCGAGTTCCTTGTCAGAATCCCCTAGCATCTCCATTCTTTGTATTGGCTATGAGATTTGTGACCTCTGCAGGAAGTGAAGGGGAGAGGATTCCTGCTGGTTTCAACAGACATAGCAAGCAGAGGGTTTGACCTTCCTCAAACCAGCCACATATACAACTTCGACCTTCCTAAGACGGCGACCGACTATCTGCACCGTGCTGGAAGAACCGGGAGAGAACCATTCTCCAGGTTGGAATGCGGCGTGGCAACCCTTATAACAGAGGAAGAGCACTTCGTGCTACAGAGATTTCAGAATGAGCTCAAGTTCCACTGTGAAGAGCTGCCCCTTGAGTCAATGTTTACGTTCTCTTGAGCTCGGATGTGGATACTAGCCTTTTCTCCCCCTTTTTTGGGTACTGCTACAGGAGATCGATTTTTTTCCCACTCGCTCTGAGCATCTATACAGGGGAAAAATCTACAGCATTTGTATCTCATACGATTGCATATCCATTTTTCTGGTTATGTACTTATGAAATGATCTTGAATCATGACAAAAGTTGGTCCAGAATTGTTTTATCGTCTCGGAAAACGATTTAACTAAACTACAACCATGTGTAGCTCAGTCCACTGGACTATAGCTTATTAAACAACAGCTGTTATTGTTCATTTGTCACTTAAACCAGAGCACGATTATATATAAAGGCACAAAGAATTCAAAGTCAACGCTTTATCAAGTCATTCATGTGAAATTATCAACAGAAGAAAGCAAAACCATATTCCATATTCAGTACGGATAACATGTTGGCAGCCATGGTACTCTAGCATTTTTTGTACCAAATAAATATTATTAGATTAGTTATGAAATATATTTCTTAGTGCTATTTAGACGCATAAATATTGAATAGCAAATATGTCCGTGTGTTGCAACGAGAGAAACAAAACGTTCAACTTATTCGCTTTAGCTTGCTGCATAGCTGCAGCGGCCGCGACAACTTAATTTGTATAGGTGACTTGATGTTGTGAGTGGTTGCTGCAACAATTACAAACAAACGGGTTTGTTAGTGGAAACCAGGATGGCAATGTTAAATATTTACTTTTGTATTATTTTTTTATAAAATTTAAAAGCTATACTTTATTGTATGATGATCATTGTATCCATATAATATAAGTTAATATTGGCAATAATATGACAATGTTGTATTAATTTTGTATTGAATTAAATTACTACCTAGATAGGATTTTTTTCTTTCGTCATGGGGCACTAAAATATTTACTCGCAAATGTATTCTAACTTCAGTTTTTATACTATCCATGTGTTAGTAGAGTTTGATATCCAAGTTAAGTGACTTATTATGAGAATCCATAAAAAAAATTAATATCTTATTAAAGTCAGCATGGGTTGGTCGTCATCGTGTCACAATTTCACATGTCAGCGCTTATCAAGAGTTGCACTCGTATATGCAGATAACTTAAAGATTTGCACGGGTATGCATATCGCTTGGAGAAACATTTATTTTTATTAGATTGAATGAAACTTTGCTTAAGATTTCAGTTTACGATTTAATTGGTTAGACCATTGACTGATTCATATTATAGTAATAATTTATATCTAATTAAAACTAACAATTTAGTAATATAAATATTTTTTATTAAGGGTCAGAGTTTCAAAAGTAATACTGTATTTATTTTTTACCTTTATCTTTATACGAGAAAAGCATAGTTCTTTATTAGAAAAGAATAAACAAAATAAAATCACGGAAGAGGCAGTCACGGACACCACCGTGCACGAGCGGGGTAGACACCCCGACGGACAATACGGAACATGCACCAGCCAGAGAAGGAAAAAAAAAAAGCAGAGATTGAAACGGAAAAAAAGACACGGATAGAGCGCTGGTAATACGGACAGAACACGGATTACGTTGGACAAAAGCGTGTGTTGCAATAGAAGAAAAAAAACTACTGAACATTCATGCAAAACGTTAACGTGAATGGTACATATCTACTTATGGTTTATGATTTTATAATGACCATCATATCCATAACATAAGTTAATGCTGAGAATAAATAACAATGTCCTATTAAACCTGTAACGAATTAAAATACACCTCGGTATATTCTAACTTCTATTGCAAAGGGAGTAATTATTTAGATATAAATATATCATAGTTTTGTAGCTTTTTTATACTATCCATGTGTTTCTATGACTCAATATAGACCTTTATAGCTTTTTTGACGCATCATATCAACCTCCGTAACTTTCTTGTCGATGTGTTATGATTGGTTTTTCCGCAAATGATTATGGCGGGAGATCTCTCTTGATTTTTCACATGGCAGCCCTCGTCAGGAATTACATAAATTCATTTTTTAATATTTCATTAGACAATAATCTGCCCAGGATTACCGTCCATGAAATAATTAATTATGTCATTGACTAATCCATATTTTAATAAAAAATAAGTTTTGTTTCTTATCAAAACTACATCAGATGATGTAAATCTTTCTCCTCAAAACTTAATGCGTAGACAAACATAATAAGTACTGAAAAATAGGGATTATGCACGGGGCTTGCCTTGGGCAGGGATCGGACAACGGAAAGTTAGTGAAGGCTTCGGAAACACCGAGGGCGAGGACATCCTCCGCGTATTCTAGGTCTGCCTCTAGCACGTTCTCGGTCATCGCCGAACCTATATGCATGCAGCATATGCAAGGATATGATTTAACACAAGGATGATTTAACACACCTATAGACAAAGCACAACCTAACAAGATTCATAATATCTATGGATAGATCACATTTTTACGAAACTAACTAAACCGGTTTGGCATTTTTCTGATTTTTTCTATGATTTTTTGTGGATTTTACAAGATCTCTATTTTTATAGAAGAAGAGAAAAAACAAACAGAGGAAAAAGGTTTGCATGGGCTTGGTTCAGTCCACAACGAAGCCGGCCCAACTGCAATGATTCGGTCCAGGTCGAAAAAGAAGCCCACCAGAAGAGGCCCACTCATATTTGGACATTTTATATCAGGAACCCTGATCTATTTCAAAAACTATTAAGGTCATTTCACCTTTTCTTTCTATATAGTATCTTTACATCTGGAACCCCGTAAGTTGTTTACTGAACGTCGAAATATGCTTAAGAATTCTGTGTTGTCTGCTGCTTCCTCTGTTTCGCTGACTTCAGACATTTGGTCTGATAATGCTAAAGAGGACTACATTAGTGTTGTTGCTCATTATGTGAGTTCTGATTGGGAATTACAGAAAAATGTTATTGGTCTTAGGTTGATTGAGGTGAAATATACTGGTGAAAATATTGCTGAAAGAATTGCTTATGTGATTGAGGAGTATAGTCTGATTGATAAGGTTTTCTCTGTAACTCTAGACAATGCATCTTCTAATGCTAAGACTGAATATTTTGACACCTATGTTTGCTGGTTATTTGGGTCCTGATCCTACAACTGAGCATGTAGGTCCTTCTAATCGTAAGTATAGTCTTATGCGTCAACGTTGTGCTTGTCGTATCATTAATCTGATTGTAAAATCTGGTTTAAAGAGGTTCAAACATTCCTTAGAAGATTTTAGATATGCTATTAACTTCTTAAATTCCTCTAATCAAGCACTATAGGGAAGAATCTTTAGAGGCCCTGGATCTGATGTTGTTAGTCCTTCCCCTGCCTCTGCCCCCACTTCATCTTCATCTGGTTCTGCTATTTGTGAGCTCTCAGTTTATCTAGACAGTAACAATGTCACTGCATATGTGGATAATTTTGATTTACTTCTTTGGTGGCGTTACCATAAACTAACTTATCTAATCATATCTATCATCGCTATAGATATTATGTATGTTCCTGTTTCTACTGTCTTTTCAGAACCATGTTTTAGCTTGGACGGAAGGATCATTGAAGAGCGGCGACGATGTTTGTTGCCTAAAACTGTAGAGATACTGAGTTGCATAAAGGATTCGGAGTAAGGAGAAAGAAGGTTACAACATGCTGTTGACAACCAAGAGTTGGAAGACTTCTTCAAAAATCTGTATCTCGACGTAGATGAATCTGGAGCTGCTGCTGCTGATACATCTGGGAGTGCTGCCGGTACTTAGTGTGACAGTGAGACTTGAGAGTTGAGAGAGAAGAGAGTGATCTGTTATCTATCTGTCTGTATTGTAAACTGTAATCTGTGTATGAGACCTTTCAACATGTTTAAGACTTAATTAAGAGCTATGTTGCACTCTTTTTCTTTTTTCAGGGTTTCTCATAAGGGTGAGTTTTATGTAGAAAGATTCTTAATGAGGCAGCATTGTACAAACAACTCATTTATCTTAATTGCCTGTTGTTTCATTTGATGCCTTTTGGTTTGTTGGATTTGGTCATTGTCTGTTGAATGAGTTAGACTTGTCAATTTTGATTGTGAATGTGAATTTGTTAAGTGCTGGATGAGAGGAAATTTTTGAAGTGATTTAAGATAACCGGGCCGCGGGATGGCACGGCCGTAGATCTGGCCGTGCTCAGCAGGCGGACGGCACGAGGCTCGCGTCCGAGAGGCCTGGTTCCGCTCGCAGGATCATCCCTTGTCCCTAAGCTAAGCTCCCTACAATGGCAAGATGCCCGCAATTTGAGCATAGCGACAGACCATTGAAGGCGCTGCATGCAGAGGATCACGGCCACATCAGTTTCCTGCCGGACGACGTCCTGATAGGGATAATCACCCGGCTGCCGATCCGTGATGCCGTGGTCACCGGCGGTGTCTCGACGAGGTGGAGGCACTTGTACCCAGCTCCAAGGTGTACAGCACAATTGTTGGTTTGCGGGCCTGAACCAAATCGTGCTGCTCCTCAGGACCCCATGGAAAGAGCTTATCAGCTCAGTGGCTTACCTCCTCATCGCCACACCTTTGGTCAAGGAGCTGCGTGTCGAGACTTACAGCAACCTGCCAGCGTCACCACCGAACAGCCTGATGATCCAATGGCCAGAGCGCCGCTCGATGAAGAAGCTCCAGAGCATCATCATCGGTGGATTCAGCGGGGAGCCGGAGCTGATGGAACTGACATTTTTCCTCCTGCAAAGGTCGCCGGCGCTCCGGACACTGGCCATCGACACGCACAGGCGGCATCTTCAACCTGGCTACAAGGCCTGGAACAGAGAGGCGTGCTTGAAGAGAGAGGAGGCGGAAGACCATGTGAGGTGCTACTACGCAAGAGGTGTTGCGTGGACAGACTTGGTGCCGAAGATCCCATCAACTGTCAAGTTCACCATCCTCTGAGTTATGTACCAATTTTGTTTATGTCGCATTGATGCGTTAAAACATCAGAGTTTGTAACTTTGGATTGCGAGCCTACTAGCCCAAATCTTTTTGTGCCAGGACTAATATATACC